CCCCCAGTCCTGGCAATGGCATAATTACGGGGGTGGTGATTAAATAGCTGGTGCTTTTCTCCTGCTGGTGACAGACCCTGCGGAGGGGGAGGGTGCTCGGAGCTGGGAAGCGGGAGTTAAAACGAAGTTAAAGTACAAACAGAAGCACATAGCTGACATGCTTCAAGTTTAGACAGTACAAGATATGCAAATGCACAGGGCTGCGCGGTATTGACATTTTGAGGTCATAGTGATAGGAATGTATTATTTATAGGATTGGGTTGCACTAGGCCGATAAACTACATTCTAAATCCTCGGCGTGAGAAGATTTAGAGATATGTTTACACTATATATGTGTGTGCATACACACATTTTATATGCGTGCTTTAATATTTCACGATGAATACTCTTCCTGGCAGGTAGCGCATGGCAGCGAGGAGGGCCCCCTGCCCACAGCCCCCTGGCCCGCTGGTAACAGCCGCGGCCCTCCGAGGTGGCCGGGGCAGGGACGCACAGAGATTGCGGCGGTGGCACCATCTCTGCTCGCTTCCCCGCTCGTCCTCTTCCTTGGCATACACATCCTCGCCGGCCGCAGCTCACCCCGGACACCGCTTTTTCCCCCTCGCAGCTCCGTCTTGCTGCCAGGGACCGTTCCCCCGCTTTTGCTCCGATGGGCTCCCAAAACAAGGGGAAACTCGGTGGGTGGGTGGTTAGACCAGGGATTGTTTCTCATGTAAATTTTACCCAGTCTCTCCGCACTTTCTCTCCTCTCTTTTTCCTTAGCCAATGCTTGCTGAGGAAAAAAAAAAGAAAAGAAAAAAAAAAAGAGAAAAAGATTAATGGCATGTAAAATGGGAGGGGTAGGGGGGAAAGAAAGCTACAGGCAAATTTCCACATCCCTTTCCTCTGGACATCCTGGTGGGTTTTCCATAGAAACTTTCACACAGTGGCCAGACAGATGCTCCAAGTGGACAGAAGAAAATAATGAGACCACAATGGGAAAACAATTGCGTCCCCAGCTTTCCCCTCCCATTAAAGGCTCCTTTGCCTTCACAGCAGAGCCCCTCGGCTCCCCGTCCCCGCAGAGCCCTTGCCCCGAGCTGGCGGGGATGCTCCCGCAGCAGCGCAGCAGCGGGCTGCGTGGCGGCCATGGGAAAGCCGCCCCTTCACCTTCTGGAAGTGAGAACTTGGCTTCACTGCGGGGGGAAAGCAGCCTTTGTCCCTGCCCGCCTTCCCTAACATGGAGAAAATTCCCATTAATTTTGTGAGGAAACATTTTGTTATGCGTGTTTCAGCAAAACATTAAAAATCCTTCTCCTTTTTTTTTTTTTTTTATTTTAGAAATCTGTCTTGCAGCTTGACAGCCTCACTGGAGCCTGAGCCAGGCCTGCCCGAGCCAGCACAGAGAGGCCTCCCTCTCCCTCTCCCTCACTGCTGGCTGCTCTTTTCCTGTCTAATCAATTATCTCCCTAGCTAGTCCTTCTCAAAGGTGAGAGCTCATTATGCATATTCATAAATCACGGCTCCCAGACCTGACACTGATTGATGTAATCATCTCCCGCTCGCTCCCTGTCTGCGCGGGGCCGGCCAGAGGAAGCGCCAGCGAGGAGGAAGAGGAGGAGGCAGCAGGAGAAAGAGACTTCCAACTTGTCAGAGCCCTTCTGCTGGGAGCGGCTGGCCGGGCGTAGCGGGCCGTGTCAGGCTTCCCATTCACCGCCGCCAAAGTGCCCATCACAGCCTGGGGATGCGACAGGAGAAAGCCCCGTGAGCTGAGAAACACCAGCGAGCCGCCTCCAGCGCGGCTAACTGTTACACAGGCAAAATGACGAGGGTAAGGAAAAGACCCAGCACAGTTTTCACCGTCAGGCATCAGACCATGCATTCGGATAACCCCCCCCCAATCTTTCATGTTAGCTCATGCGTCTGCTTTTGTTTTCCTTGGACAGTTAAGGCTGGTTTGTCCCTGTAAGAACAGACGCATTCTGGTATGGGTTCTGATCATGAATATTCAGATATGTGATACAGCAAATATCTTTGATACTATACCTGCAGCTGTTCTGAGTAGCTATACTGTAAAAAAAAAAAAATAAAAGGAAAAAGTTGTGAATGATGTAAGTTACTGCTCCCAGGGTTTGAGGGCAAACGGGCTGCTCCAGCCCAGCCTACCAGCTTTCCAGCTTTCCAGCTGGGAACGTGTATCACAGCTCTGACTTGTCTCCCGAAGCATGCTTCAGCATGAAGATGCTGCTCAGATTATGTGGTTTACCTGTACGGTTAATATTTACGCTTCTAAAACACCTCTTTTTATCACTTTGATCAGAAGGATCAGTGTACTGAAGTAATAATACAAAAATATATGCCCTGGAAATCATAACAAGATACAAATCAAAGGGAGTCCTAATCAAGTACTTTTGAGAGTGTTATCTTCCTTGTTAACAAATGGTAATAAGAAAATTAAGGCTTATAGCTTGCTTGTGTTTTATCTAAGAAAACCAATAAAGATATCAGATGTTCTTTGTTTTATATGTTTGAATGTAAAGCAGAATAACGAAGAACACCTACCTTCTAAGGCTTCCTTTGCTCTATGGGTATTAACACTTTCGGGTACCAGCGAATCTCTGAATTTGCAGGATGAGGCCGAGATTGTGCTGCCACCCGCGGTGGGTGAGGCCCATCTTTGCTGCAGCCGAGACATCTTTTTTTATTAAATACCAAAATTGGAACAAAGCAACAATGGCCGCTTGCTAACTATGCATGTCCAACAGGCCTCTTTACTATTCAGCAAATGGAAGATATTAAACAACATTTTGCTTAAAGGTACACCGAGGCCATTTCCATTAGGACATGGTGTCATTCATTTATTCACATGTTAAGTGGATGTCCTTGTGGCTAATGAGTAATAATCAACAGTGACTCCACTTTATTCCTTTGCTCCCAGCAATGTTAAATACTCTGATGGAGTCTCTTTGCTGACACACTAGAGAATATGGTTAAAAAGTGCTAAAGGACATTTTCAGTGCAGAGCAGAGTATACAC